ATAGTTTATGGGCTGTGGAGAAAAAGAATTTTAAATTGATTACTGCAGCATCTAACAGATCCAGGTTTGGAGCTCCATGTGTTTTTTCTTACTCCAAGGCCTCATCCCATCTGCTTAACTGCAACAATGGTTCCTGTCTCTTTTCCTTTTCTCAGATAAGCTTAAGGAGAAATAGGAAGTGATTGCCCCCATGGAAGTTCTTCTGTGCTTTCCCCAGGTGCCAGGAGAGGATCCTTACAGTGCATTGTGCGTGGAACAGAAAATGTCATCCTTCAGTGGGGCAGCCTCACACAACCTCCCAGAACCTCAACGACCTACAGGAGAGGTACCTTGAATATCAGGGAGCATTGTGGTTCTGGCCTGAAGGTGTTCCCTGAAGGATTCAAGGATCAGCTGTGGATTTCAGACTTTCAGAATTGAGTTGTATGTTCTGAGTTCCAGATAGATTTCACATGTTGCTGTAGCTTTGTATGTGTCTGTGTGCAAACGCTCACATGGTTGTGGTTGCTGTCACACATGCTCATTTGGTATTTCCATATTGCATTTTATAAATATAGCTAAAAGCTGTCGGTTTGGAGAGAATGGCTAGGAAAAGATACAGAGCTGGAGCACTTTTTGTGCAAGGACATAAATTTACTTTCACTGTGTGTAAAGCAGACTGTGTTTCATCAGGCAGGGTCATACTTTAGGAGCAAGTGGATGTTGAGAGAGGATCACAGACTCAGTTAGCAACAGTGAGAATATGCGATTGGAGTGGGTGTCATAGAGTGTCCAGGGAATTTCTCAATCCTTCTTAGGGAAGTATGAACATGAGCGATTTTCCTTGTGTATCTAATTCTTTTTCTTTATTTTGAATAGGAATTGCAACATGCGGCTAACCAGCAGGGCTGGCCAGAAGCCCCAGCCCAGGCCACAGATGCCAGGTCTCTGCATTCCTCAGCAGGCTCAAGCACCTCCTGAGAAGAAGGTTCTGAAGAAGCAACAGAGGAGGCCTGTGAAGCCCAAGGTTCTCCCCTAAGATCAGAGAGAAACATGATCAGTGGATACTTGGGAAGGTTCAGACCCAAAAGGGACTCCTATACTCCTGAGTGTGGGGCATATGTTTGGAAACTGATTGACTTTTCTTACCTAAGCCCCCTGTGGCCTGTGATATCCTTACCTCAGTCACTGATTCATTCAGAGATTTTGAAGATCAACCTCCATCCTTATGCAGTGTTATGTTGAAACTAGTGTTGGTTTAATATTCAAATTCTTCTTTACCATTGTTACCTTCACACACCAACATTCTTCTTCCTTGAATATCTCTGTACAGGATGAGTTTACAGGAACACAACACCTTGGACCTCTTGAAAACTCATAGCCATGGGTCTAGGACACTTCTCACCTTGAATAGCCAAGTGTCCAAATCCCTGCTTACCCTTAGTTTTTGAAAGACTCGCGATTGCTACTGACTCACTGACTAGCCCCTCTGTTACCTACAGGTAAAATGCAAGAACTGTGGTGCCTTTGGGCACATGGCAAAGAGCACAAGATGCCCCATGAAGACCTGGAATGGGACCCTTCCTTCCCAAGTTTTAGGACCCAGTAAGGACAAGGAGAACCTGAATCCAAATAAACCACTGCAGCTTCAGATTCTGGCACCCATTAGCAATGCGGACAGATGGAAGAATCAAAATACAAGGGGAGGACCCTACAAGGCAGAGTGCTAGAGCACTGAAACCCAAGAGCCAGTGCCGGCAGTGTTCCCCTGTCTGCACAGATATCACTTGCACTGTGAGGAAACTACATGCAGTAGACAACACCCTGCCCCCAGGGACCCTTCCTGATTTTGGAGCCTGAATCACTAGGGGGGAGGAATTGTGGAGTATCACGGCATGCTGCCCATGGCAGGCTGTGCAGCAGAGTCCCAGTGGAAGGAGGCTGCATGTTGGAAGGATTGAAAGGAATGATTCCATGCTGAATGTTGCGGAGGGAAGGGGGTCTTCTGGAGGTGGGAGCTGCTTATGAGACTGAGATAGGTAAAAGCAGGCTGGGTCCACGAGAGCTTGAGTGCCTCCCACTCCCCATACCATGGCCAGAACCTAGCTTCACTGTTGTTTCTGCTGCTTGTCATGTGTGTGCTGCAGTTGTGCCCTATCCTGATATTTAACATCATCCACCCTGCAGGCAGGAGGAGCTGAAGACGAGCTAAGCTACCTGTGCCAACCGTACCTCCCAGCTTTTCCCACAAGATGGTGTCTAAAACTCATACAGAGTCCGTGCAATCCTGTCTTTTTCTGAGGGTGAGTGGCACTAGGCCACCCTACTGTGATACTTCCCGGGTCCCCTCATGCATCTTTCTTGTGTGCGCTTCAAGTAGGCATGTTGGTGAAACCTAGGCTGGCCCATGGAAGTCTTGCTTCTCTTTTATAAGGCTTAGTTTGAAATGTTTTGTTCTTTTTGAGAAATTGGCCAGGAAGTGCTATTAGAAACATTTCAGTGCATGTGCAACTTGCTTTATCAAATGTTGTCTCCTATCCTAAATCCAGCCTTGCAACTTACGCTAAAAGTTCCAAGTTGCTCTTCAAACTATTTTTGTCATTTACACACTGTTGGGAAAATACTTTGTCTCTTGACCTTAACAGCAGACAATATGATCAATATCAATATGGAAATATCTGGTGAAGAA